CCAATAGCGATTTTCCTTACTGAGGAGTTGGCAACACTGCTGAGGAGTGGCCATAAATTCATCAAGTAGCTGCAAAAGAATGGTGGACAGTTACACAAAAAGGATATCACAAGGTTATTTCTGCTGAAGGGGCAACACTGTAGCACTGTGTTCTGACACTATAGATACTCTTTGGATTTTAGGAGGATGCATCTTGTGTCCCTTGATATATCTGTTTCAAATAGTTACATATTGTGTAATATGTCATGTGTACATATATCATGTACATATGATATACATACTACATATACGTGTGTGTAAAATGTGTATTTTTTGAAAAGATATGCATTTCAGAAGAAGTCATTTTAAATATGAATGAATGTTTTGGAAAATGTTTGACTAAAACATGCACAGCTACCAAGGAGGCGTATAATCCCTAAAGTACTTAATCCAGTGGCCTCTCCGGATTGCTGATTTGACTGAAACATACTGATGGTATAACGCCACGTCCTTCCTACTGGTAGTTCAGCGTGCTACGTGAAACATTTTAGACGTATCTGAAACTTATCCAGGTATTAAATAGGAAACATTAAATGAAACCTGAGACGATTTCGATGCATTTTCCTCTGCTTCAGTGCGCACGACTGTGTGGTGGTGTGCAGAGTATTTCTGACGTCCAACGAAAGGGTTGACCAGCCAGCTTTCCAGTTGGATCAATAGCTCAATCAATCAGCTGGACTGCTGCTTGCTTTTGTTTGTTCAGCGCAGAACGACTCTCACATGGTTTCTTCCCCTCGTTATGTTTCTGATTCTCAAGTTTAAGTATTGTTTATTTGCACGAATGAGTAACATCCAGCTCGCGCTCCTTCTGTCTCTTTCATTCTCGTTGCTTTCAGCGCACGGGCAAAATGCTGGCTAAATGATGGATGGGAGGGTCAGCAGGGGTTCAGTGAGTGGAGGAAGGATAATTGCCTGCATGGGATTAACTGTGTTTTGTTTGGTCTGTGCATGGATGAATGATAAAGACAGCCTCTGATTGATTTTCTGCAGGACGGAGCTGCTAGTATGTGTCCATTTTTTTAATACACGGAAAAGGGTTTTGCCTCTTAATTTTTATTGTACGTTGTATGTTTAAGGCTTATCAGATGTATGGCTCTGAACATGGAGTGAGCTGCTGATGTTGTTGATGTAGACAAACTCTTACTTCAGGACCACGGTGAGTCTCTCCTGCTCTCTTTCCCTCTTCGCATGCATGCACAAATTGTATGCTTTCCACTCCTTCAACTCACTTTGACTTGCATGCACACAGTCTGAGTTAAAGTGGAAACACTCAAGCAAAGGCAGACAGACAAATGCAGTTTTTCTCCCTCCTCACTTATTTTCATCTATTTTTATTTCGTCCCTAAATTCCTTCATATTTGGTTGTTGATACCGCGTCATAATCCCTGCGCCCTCAGTCCCTGGCACAAACCACTCTCAACAGCCTCGACAGGGTGCCTGTGTCTGTCTCTGACACCATATGGTCTTCGCTGTTTTGTTTGGGCGAATGACGCCAGTGCCCGCTCTGCTGCTATGTGACCTGCAAATAGACACTCTGGTCTTATTTTCCTTTTGTAGATGCTGACGTGAGATCTTAAATATTTTTATTTTGCTATTGGTGAAAGAATTCTGAAATTCTACTGAGATTGTAACCACAGTGACGGTAATTAAAATGTTGAGTCGTGGAATTATAAAGAATTTGCTGAGATACTTTGTCTCCACTTTGAAAACTGTCTTAGCTGTCGCCCTTTGGGAGAGTCATACTGAAATCCAGATTAATACAACCAAGGACTTTAACCCTGCAGTAGCAGCCTAATTTGCACACAGTATAATAAACCATGCAAGCTCTGTTGTAGCAGCGTGTGGATCGTCTAATCTGCTTTTCCTTTACTTTATTTTTTTGATGTCTTCTTATCAGTTAGTAATTTCAAAGAGTAAAGACAGGAAAAGGCAAACAGGTGTGCAGAAGCGTCATTAAAGCTCTTCCTGTTTGCGTGTGGAGAAGAGCACATCCTGGACCCTCTATATGATTACTGTTTGTTTTTATCTTCTTTTTTACGCCCAGGGTAAGTTGTAATTTTGGCTTATGTAAACAGCAAATTACACATTACCGAAGCCGCGCAGCAAGATTGTTAAGCCTAAAAGCAACTACCACTCTCTGCTTAGTTTTGTGTAATTACTGCATCTAACGGTGCTGCGCTCCGGTCTCGTTGTCAGTGCAACTCATCAGCACTTGCATGAAACGTAGCAGTTGTTTGGCCGTTAGATTTTACAAACTGTAACTAAAACTCCCAGTGATATGACAAGTCAGAAAAACAAATGGCAAGATGGAAAGGATATGACCCAAACTGTGGTTGAACCTTGCTGCGTGCATACTGTTTCCTGTTTGCTTGCTTGCCTCGTGCCTCTGACTTCTGCCTCTGTCCCTCCTGAACTTAGCTGCACTTTTAAATAGTGCAGCTAAGTTTTTTGGGGGGGTTTAACTTCAGAGCCACCAAGGTTATGATACTATTTGTTATTAGAAAAACGTTTTAGTACACTATCATTTCCTGTAACAAACTGCCAGGTGTATTTTTAGATGAAATTACTGCATTACCAGTCAGAATACATTCTAGCATCAGTGTTTGCTTTTTCTAGCAAAGACGTCTGTGAACACCAGACAATTAAAAAACATTTATAAACGCAGTTATATTTCTAAATATTTCTCCACTGCCCACTTTATTAGGTACATCTTTCTAGTCTCAGGTTGGATCCCCTTTTGTCCTTAAAACTGTCTTACAGATTCAACAAGGTGCAAACATTCCTCTGAGATTTTGGTCCATATCAATGCGATAGCATCACAGTTGCTCCAGATTTGTCATCAAAATTACTCAGGTAGACTGTGGTGTTTAAACAATGACTGGTTGGTATTAGGGGCCCCGATATCCCCCACACCATCACACTACCACCAACAGCCTAAACCACTGGTACAATCAGGAAAGCCAACATGATTTGTAGCCTCACTTTCCTCTTGTTAACCTACATCCAGTGTGGTCTTCTGCTGCTGTATCCCATCTGCTTCTAAGTTCAATATTTTGTGTATTCTGAAAGATCTCTTCTACATACTTTGGTTGCAGTCAGCAGGTGTTTGAGCTATTGTTGCCTTCTTATATGCTTAAAGCAGTCTGGACATCCTCCCTTGGCATCAACAAAGTAT